AAAAAAAAAAAAAAAAAAAAAAAATCAAATCAAATCAAATCAAATAATTTTTTTTTTTATAATTAAATTACTTCAAATAAAAAATTAGCTGTCCATCGACTCAAGAGTAACTCAGCATTGAGTTCATCCCACCGGCAAACAACAAACATTACAAACAAATGAACTACTTCAAAACACCTTCAAAACTCATTATGACGATCATGAGCAACTGGTACAGAATTGAATTGAGAAAATGCATCTGCTATAAAGTCGCTAAAGTGCTATGGAGAAAAACATTTTCCCGAGGTAAATTTAGTTAAAACTAACGAGTCACTGATCACTTCTTCAGTACACATCAGTGCGATTTGAACCACAGATCTACATTACAGCTCCTACAAGTGACTTTTATTACGTACCAAAGCCAGTTTCCACTCTCGTTCGGTGTTTGACGAGTTACACGCTGAAGTTTAATACTTGTTTAAATCTCTAACTCACAGCATGAGCAAACAGCACTAATCACAGCAAACGTGAGCTCTGAGGACGTCAGACAGAACCGGTCCTCATAAAGCTCAGCTCTCCGTCACCGTAAACCACCGAAAACAAGAAGAGACCAAGCCCTGAGTCCGCTTGCTCTCACTTCATATACATGCTAGAGTGGATTTGTTTATTTTGTCATTTTACAAGTTTACAGTCGTTCTTTTCTGGGAAAATTCAATAACTTTCATTTAGAGTCAGTCATGTTTTTGTCTCTTCTGCTCACCACGGCTGCATTTATTTGATCAAAAACATAGGAAAAATTGTGAAATATTATTCCAATTTCAAATAACTGTTTTCTCTGTGAATATGTGTTAAACTGTAATGTATTTCTGTGATGCGCAGCTGTATTTTCAGCATCATTCCTCCAGTCTTCAGTGTCACATGATCTTCAGAAATCAGTATAATATGCTGATCTGCTGCTCGAGAAACATTTCTGATTATCATCAATGCTGAAAACATTAATATTTTTGTGGAAGCTGTGATACATTTTATTTTTCAGGATTCACAGATGAACAGAAAGTTCAGAAGAACAGTATTTATTTGAAATAGAAATCTTTTGTAACATTATAAATGTCTTTAATGTCACTTTTGATCAATTTAATGCAGCCTTGATGAATAATATAATTTATTTTCTTTTTTTGTCAAATCTGTTACATTCTAATAATTTTGTGTCAAAAAGTTTAGTAACAATAATAACACTGGAGAAAACCTATTGAATGCAGCTGCAGGACGAGATCATAAAGTAGTTTTGATAAAACATTTCTGTA